ATAGCCACCTAACAATGACAGAATGGACATGGAAGAAAAGAGGCAGATGTCACAAGTATGAACATAACAACAAGATAACACAACTTAAAAAACTCATGTGTACTCGTCTAAAACTAAATATGTAAGTTACGCTCAAGTCCCCTTCAACAACAAGCATTTGATCCCACACTAGTCGGGTGGGCCAAAAAGTGAACCCGTTAGAAATTATACAGGTTATCAAGCAACACAATTTATAAATCCAGAAATAAATTACTCCCTACTTTCCAATTGCAGTCGACCTTTACTTTTAGAAGAGTAAGACTTGATAACTATATTGATCTATAAAATAGTATTAAAGCGATAACAATCTTAGATAATATGTTAAGAATAACAATCTAAGTTCTGGATTTGGAAAGCACTAATATTGAATTATAAATATTAATGTGGACTCAAGTGTAGGATGGAGGGAGTATTAACATCATGATAGCAAAGCATTTTTTTTGGTTCAGTTAAGATAAGGAGCCATTTAAAAGATAAGCTGCTCTAAAAAGACAAAAACCACGTACCGTTAATGCCTTCCATGGCACCACTAACGACATGTTGAGCTGCAATATCATATACATGGCGTGTAGTGGTTGTAGGCCCAAACACTTGATCTAGATAAACGGTTAAAGAAAAGAAAATGAGATTTGCAATGCTAAACAAGAAATAGAACCTCAAAATACAAATGATAACCTCAGCCATGCAATATGGAACATGAATAATCTCAAGAAAGGAAGATTTCAAACATAAAACTGGATGACATGACAACATAATATTAATAAAAAGAACATGAAAATTGCCAAATTGGTTCCATTAAACAAAACCATGCTTCACATCCAACAAAAAATGGTGGAAACACTGAACAAAGCTGATATAATCAAAATTTTGCAAGAACTTCTTTTAAAATGAGAATCCTAAATAGTAATTGATACTCTGTACAGCATTGACTAGTACATATGACCTCGCAGCTTCAGGAAAAATGTCATTGGTAGATTTTTCACAGCTATATGGTACTAGTGTATTCACCTCACTAAAAACTTCTGCTATAGAGTACAAGCTGTTAGAATATTTCCTATTTTATGTGGCCTTAGGACCATTTATGTTATAAATTGTGGGAAATAAAATATTTATGATTTATACCCTTAATTATACCATCATGACATAATTAGTTACTTGATGGAAGTAACTGCCATATAAATAAGATGGTCAAAATTTGTTTCTCTTTAATGCTTTCATACGTGCAGGGGACATTCAAGGAGAGATCAAAAAATTCTCTCTCCCAAAAACACCATAATCTTGTCCTCTTAATCTATCCATCAAGAAGAAGGCATAATAACGAGAACAAGAATTCGAAGTCGTACCGCAACAATGGTTTCTTCTTCGTCATTGAACAATCCTATCAAGATTGGCTTTCCAAGTAAGTTTTAAGTTTTACGTTTTCAATTGAGATCATGCGATTAAATCCTGTTATGTGTTTAATTTGATTAACATGTGGTATCAGAACATGGTTTTAATTTATGTAATATGCCCTAATAATCATGAACCCTAATTTTTTTTTATTTCATGATATGCGTACATACATATGCTTCTGTTTTCGATAGCCGCTTTCATCTTTTACATCAGAAAAATGAATCTTCTTTTTCTATTAATAATGATATACAAATGCTTTTGTATTTCTTGGTTTTCCAAGACAAAAATTAAAAAAAGGGGGCAATCCCACTGTTGTCGCCACTTTCATCTTTCCATGAGAAAGTGATTTCCCCTCTTTTTTTTTTCTTTATTGTGATGTAACATATTTCATTTATCCAATTCCTTTTTTCGTAATCGGGGTTTTATTGGAATTCAAATCATATGACAAATTTGGTCGCTGTTTTCATTCTTTAAAGAAAAGTGATATAGATGTACCAATCACAATCACAGATTCACTTTTATTAAAAACCTCACTTGGTTTTAATTTATAAGATGTTGTACCAATTTTATGATGTACGTACTTGCATTACGTCATATGAATATTTATCTTCAAGATTTTATGAAAACCTCTTGTCCAAAATATTCATTATTGACTTGAGTAATCGGCCCAACGGAAGATTGCTGAAAGTAATGTCTAATAATGTCGGATTATAAATAGTTTAAATTGTCACTCAATGAACCCAAAGGTGACTTGATTGATAACTTAATTGATGAATTATTAGCATAGTATTCTTTTATTACATCTTCGCCCAAAGGTGATATGTGATAATTGTGCATGCTTACTTTAGTTATGGGTATCTCAAGTTTGGTTGTCAACCGAACCAACGTGAGGTTGATAACCGGACACGATATCTTATAAAAACCTATTATTTTGGTGTTTATAATAGGTTATATATTTACACTGATATGCTTCATTGATATGTTTATATCCTGTTAGATCATTTAGCTTCATCTATGCATACATCTAATATCCCTATTATTTCAGCATCCACTTTAACACCTAGTTACGGCATTGAACCATTGACTGGTACAAACTTTGCCACATGGAGGGACTCTGTGAAAATAACTTTAGGAGTGATGGATCTTGATCATGCATTACACACCGATCCTCCCGCCGCACTTCATGATAAGAGAACGGCGGAGCAAAAGCGTCTGCATGAACAGTGGGAGCGATCAAATCGCATGTCTCTCATGATAATCTAAGAATTCCATCTATGTAGCTATTCGTTGAGCCATTCCTGACTTGGACAACGCGAAAACCTACTTAGACTCTGTGGAAGAATAGTTTAGAGGTATCTCTAAGGCTCATGCAAGTACACTAATTCTCAAGATGTTAACTTCTAATTATGATGGTATTAGTGGTGTACGTGAGCACATCATGATGATGAGTGATATGGCAAATAAGCTCAAAGGCATGGATATGGAGATTAGTGAAGGATTTCTGGTTCACATCATAATGACTTCTCTTCCTACACAGTTTGGTCCTTTTAAGATCAACTATAATACACAAAAGGAGAAGTGGAAGATGAGCGAACTAATCACCATGTGTGTACAAGAAGAGCGCCTTAAAATTGAAAAACCCGATTGTTGCTCATGTCACCACTGTAACTCCATCTAAGAGGAAGGGTAAAAGCCTAGAAGGGGAAAGTTCTAAAGTCCGAAAAACAGGTGCAAGTACAAGCTCAGGTGTGAGTAAATTTA